TACTTGGAGCAGACATGGCCCCTTCTCCTCCTTCTGCATTACCTGTCGTCCTCCCACCCAGCAGGCAATGAGGCTCACCTGGCCCTCCAGCTGTGACACATGAGCTTGGATGTGGAGCAGTGCTAATAAGCAGCTTGATGCAGACTGGAGATGTGACTCAGCTGCATTAACCTGACGGGACACAGGGATGCTGTCAGGCAGGTAAAGCACCAGACAGACCATTTCCTCCTCGCCCTGGAACAAACAATCCATCCCTAGCCCACTGCAGCCCTTCCTCTATCCTTCTCCTGCCCAACCCCACTGCTGGTGGGTCCTTTCTCTCCAGAAGCAGCCCCTACTCCAGACACAAGGATACTGGGCTTTGTTGTAGGGGGACAGATTCAAGGAGAAGAGTGTGATTCCTCTGGAAGACAGTGTGTATCCTGCCACCTGAGCAGGGTGAGGAGATTCCTCTAGATGAGAAATGTAGGATTCCAAGACTAAGCAAGAGCTGCCTCTGCGGTCAATGCTCTAATTCCCTTTCAGTTGTTTAGAAACAACTTCACAGCTCATCTCTGATCCCCACTGCTGACTCGAATGGAGTGAGACTAGGGGCAGTATTGGCCTGCCTCAGCCCCAGCCCTTAGGACTCTCAGGCTCTCTCCTGAAATTTGGGCTCACCTCTAGACATTCCAATTCCTCCTCCAGTCTGAAGAGATCATCCTCTAGCACAGACCTGTGACACAAGCCTGGGCGTTAGCAGCACCCCACGTGAGATTGGCGAATGTACCTTGGGGATAGCCAGGCCAGGCAGGGGGAGGTGCAGGTGACCAGACAGGAACAGTGCAGCAGCCACATCGTACAACACAGAAAAATGAAGCGAAAATAGCACTGGGATAAAAGCAGTGTTGGGGAATTGCTCTGTTTAACAAGTAACTGTTACAAGAGAGATTTACAGAAGATGTACAGGGCTGAGGAGCACCCAGCTCTTGCTGGAAAGCTTCAGGCTCTGGGGTCCCAGTTCCCAAAGGCATCACAGATAATTCACCTTCCCATGCAATGGCTATTGGGTCAGAGAATGAGGTGGAGAAGTCAAGGACAGGCAGATCAGAAGAACTTGGAGGCTACAGAGAGATCCCCAAGAGTGATGTGTCTGAAAGGCACTCACTTCTCACTGGCCTGTGAGCAGGTGTCCCGGGCTCTCAAATTGCTACCATCAGTCGGCTGAAAAGCTCTGTCACATTTAACAGTATATTCATCTGGAAAACAGACATGGAGTGATTAGGACAATGGACATAGACATATTCCTGACTCTGTCTCTCCAAAGGGGAATCTGCTGTGTCTCCATGGGCCACTGCTGAGCTCAGTGCACCCCATGTCCCTGCCATGCCACAAAATGGGGATGGCATGATCCTGCAGATTGAAAACCTGCTCTAAGGATGGCTGGTCATAGCCTGAGCAGCATTCCCATGGCCAAGGGTGATGCTGTGGCTCCTGCCTTTTGCTGGGTTCTTTTTGAAGGGCAGGGGGACCCTCTCTGCCTATGACTGTCCAAACTATACAACCACATGATACGCACCCGGGGCTCTGACCTTTTGGGAGGGATCTGGCTTTGCAGACTGCAACAGTTCTGCTGACGCTTCTTTCATGGTGCTGAGCTGAGGGACTGGCTGACTGCATGGGTACAGAGACACAAGTAATGCTCAGCAGTGTCACAGCTCAGGGAGAGGTGCACAGGCATTTGCCTGATTGCCATTTTTGTCAGTTTAAATCTTTGCTGTCCCCTGAGATCAAATAGGCAAGAGCCTGATGATTCTTCAGAGCTGCCTTCCCTCTCAGATACAGAGGTCCCACAGCAAAGGGATCACTGATAGGTACCCACTCTCCCCATTCTCCCCTCTCCTCACACACACAGCTGCTTTCTGCAGGACACCTCTCCATGGGAGAGGTGAGAGAGAGACAAATGAGACCTTACCTGCAGCCATCTGTGCTTTGTGCCTTGTCCTGTGGGGTAGTTGTCTGTTGTGGTGCTCTTGTGGAGGCATCCACCTGGCTTCAAGCACAAACCATCCAATGGGAGACAGCCAAGGAGAGGATGAAAGATGAGACTCTTGCCCCTGACACCCATTCCTGCCTCACAGCTGACAGCTTGTCCCAGTTGGCTGTGGCAGGATTCAGCTTTTGATTTCAGAAGGAGCACAGGCACCTCAAAACCTTCATCACTGGTGTTCCTTCTTGCTGCATCCATCTCCTGCCTCTGGCAGAAGCAGCCCCAGCTAATACACCTCTGCCCATGACACATGGCAGTTTGTCTGCAATTCACTTCTGAGTCCCATCTGGGTGGCACAAGTCTGAACCTGATTCCAAGTGAACTCAGTACAGGACGTCCTTTGCTTGCAACTAGCAGGAATGAAGGGAAATGGAGGTAGGAGCGAGGAGGATGGGGGAGCTTTTTGGGGTGTGCTGATCCAGGACAGCTCCATGGGATCTGGGGTCACGTGTGCAATCTTGACCACAGATGGAAAGAGAGCCCAGAGCTGGGATGAGGCAGTGGGCTGGGTCAGTAGTAGAAAGCCCCATGTTATTACCCTCATCTGAGAGAGGACAGTGCTTAGAATTAATTTCCTAAATCTAAGACAAAGATTTCTGAGAAGTCCTGCTGGAGCAGCTACATGTGGAGCAGATGGGAGACCTGCAGCCATTGACCGTGCCTTTACCTGGCAGGAGTGTGGACGTCCAGCTTTTCACTCGGAGCGTCCACGGCTTTCACCTGGGCTTGAGATTTCTTGAGAGCCAAGGCAGCACTCAGCCAGTCCTCCTCCTCCTTCAGTGGGTCAGCTTTAGCTCCTGCCTTCTCTGTGGCCAGGAGCTGGCTGGCCGGGACAGGCTGGCTGTCTGCAGCAGGGTTGGTCTTTGCTGGAGGCTGTGGCTCCAAATCTACAAACTTCTCATCTTTTGAGCTCCGCCAGTCACAGCTAGTCCTTTTGGCCTCCCTGACAAGGCTGTGACTGGCTGGTGGAGGAGATTTGGAGTGAGCCTCCTCTTTCAGTTTGACACTGTTCTGGGATGCACGCCGGCTGCAAAGAGAAGCAGTCACATACCTGCCTGCAAGGGGACCCTGCATGTGAGGGGACGCTGGGAACCCTGCCCACCCCACTGCAAGGGCAGAATGGCTGGTAACTGGAGCTACAGACACACACAGAGCATAATACCTCACAAGTTGTGTATTTGTCGTCTGGTCTTTGAACTCAGAATGCTCATGCTCTCCAAAGACACATTTTTTCTTGTCTTGATCCTCTTCTTTCTCTGTTCAGACAACCAGCCTTGAGTAAGTACCCAGAGGAGCAGCTGTCTGCAAAGACACTGGCCCTCCTCCTCTTCCTCCTTCCCTGAAGTTCCTCCTGGGATTGCTGTCTCTGGGAAAACACAGCTGGAAACATCTTCACTGGAAAATCTAAGTGTGGATGGGAACACCTTCTTCGTTTGGAATCAGCCTACATCCAAATGCAACTGAGTCATGGCTACAGTGCAAATGCTACCAGGTTGCCTCTAGGGCAGAGTATGACACTTCTGCATCAGCCACCTTCCCTTCTTACTACTACAGAAATGGCAATTCCTCTACAAGGGCATTAGAAACCAACCTCGCTCTCCCAAGATAATGCTGTCACATCTGACGACCTTCCCAGTGTCGCTGGCTGGGCTCACCCAGCTGCTTTTTGTTCTTCTTATCCAGTTCTAACTCCCTGTGCTCTCTCTTGCTTGTATCTTCCAGGAAGAGTATAAGGATACTGCTCTTGCAGCTACCAAGCTCGCAAAGCAGGGGTAGGAAAGCTCCCAATCTCAATAAGCCTTACTCTTTTGAAACCCCCCAAGAAGGCTGCTCTCCAGCCTCATCAGCATAATGCCCTCCTTGCCGGGCTAAAGAGAACTCCCAGGACTTAAGCCAGTATTAGAAGAATAAAACATTTAGCTTCACTTAGCCAGCAATGAGACATTTTTATCAAGTGAGCCTGCTGCTTCCTATTCAGTTAGTCCCTGGCCACAAGCAGCCCTTGATCTGTGAGCTCTCACCCTGCAGTGTCTCAGAGTCCTGGGCAACCCAAAAGCACTGTTTCAGCATCATGGCTGCAAGAGGCCTCCAACCAAGCAGTTAGGGAGGAGAAGAACAGAAATAAAAGCATAAATTATCCCCTAGATTTGGGAATGACCCCAAGAGAGGAATACAGGGCCTCAGTAAGTAAATTGCCTTGATGGGAGAGGCAGGTGAGCATCTCTGGTTCAGGAAAGATGCAACGCACTCAACTGCAGCTTTCAGACAAGGATTCTGGAACATTCAAGCAGCCAGGGATGCTACCTGTGCCCAGTGTGCCCCATCCTCTGTCCCATGCATTTCCAGGAGATAAGGCACTTACATACATGAATGCACCGGAGTGTACATACCTCCAAAACTCTTCTTGCTATTTTCAGCCTGTGGAGAAAGACAGGTTCCCTCATTAGAACATAAAGCAGGTCTGACCCACACCTTCCCAAAACACACTAAGGCCAGAAGTATCCCATAAACAACAGTACAGCCCTCCTTGTGATCTTTGGGAATTGGCATGTGAAATGCAGAGAAACCACAGGGATATTTCCAACTTTAGAAACAGCAGTGAGAATAGCCCCTCTGAGCACCGGCCCTGCAGAGCCTCCAGCCCCTGGAATCCCTCCTACCTTCCAACAGAGGAGACAGTGCATCCGTTTGTTTTGGAGATAACATTCTTGCTTTCAGGCCCTATAACACTCACCATGGCAGTCTGTCCCAGCTTTCCCGTGATCCAGCAACTCGGTTTATGGCTTGTTCCGATGGCCAGTGGGGCGAGATGGAGCCCTCGGGGTCAGGATGGAGCCCGCCGGTTCTGCGGCGCGGAGCTCCCGCCGCCTCCACCGCGGCGGTGCCGCACGCGGTTCCTCGCGTGTGTTCTCGGAGTTCCAGGTTGCCATGGCGATGACGCTGCCGCTCCCAGAGGATCATCAGAGACGTCTCCACAGCCCCAGCGCCACAGGCTCTTCCCTAGCCCCGGGACCACCCTCCCTCCCCGGGCTGAGGGAAGTATCCCCAACCCTACTTCGTGCAGTGAACCACGGTCTGGCACTCATCCGTGGTACCCCTTGGTGTGTATGGTGGGCCTCCCTGTAGCCCATGACCTCACATTGCTAAGGCACCCACAGACAAAGGGCACATCTGGGAAGCAGGAGCTGATAGGAGAGGATGGGGACATCACTGAGCCAGAGTCTGGCTTCTCCCACACAGTGATGGGATGGGAGAGGGACTACCCCAGTGGGCTGAGGATGTTATCCATGAATATGAGACAAGCTGTAAGGAAATACCTGTCCACCTGTCCTTGCTTCTGCTATCACTCCTCTATTGCCCATGAAGCTACAGTCCCAGCCCAGTGGCTCTGCTCTCCCTGGAGCTGGCAGAGAAAATAGGACTACTTGGGCTCAAGTGGTATTTGTATTACTTCATGAACATCTAGCTAATATAAAATAAACGGTAGCACTATTAAACTTTTATGCAGAAGGCAAAACTCTTTACCCCTCCCTGAAGAAACATTTGCAACTTTTTCTTTTTGCTGACATTTTAACTTTAGCTGGCCTGATCGGAAAGCGAAAAACAGCTGTTGCAGCAATATTTGAATAGGTTTTGTGGGGTATACTTGGGCGATTTCTCACATCTGGAAAAGAAAAATCTTCATCTCTGAACATGTTTTCTCTGAAAGAGTATTCCTGAGGTCTCATCGATAACAGTGTTTGCAAATGCTAACATAACTAATTTCTATATCAGTGTTTTTCCATATATTTTTTTTTTCCTCTACCATTGTTGGATTTTTTTAATGTTTGGGCAAATTACAAGTTCTAAACAAATTATGACAACTATGAACTAAAGGGAAGGTGAGTCTTTAGTTAAGCCTGCCAAAACTAAGAAACCCCTTGTGTCTTCATATCTTTTTCTCTTTTAAATTTTTTAGCTTCAGTCTTGTTCATTGCTTTGATCAAATGACAAGTCATATTCATTTAATGGCAATTCCCTTTCATTTCAGAAACAATTTCCCGTTTTACTGGAGGACCTGGAAGTTCTAGATTTTGTAGGTAATTTTTATCACAAATTCCTTTATCTACATAATCATTTGAAATCCATCAGAGAAATTTCATTCTTACAAAAGACAGCACAGCAGAGCGGAACAATAAACTTAAATGCTGCCACTCTAAAAAAGGTTTTAAAATATTAGTCTAATTGCTTTCAAAAGTGTAAATTAAGCCTTAATAGTCAGAGCAATAGAGATCAATGTTCCCAGTGGAATTACAACAGGAATTACACTGCCTGTTGGTCTGAACTACTAATGAACTCTTCTGCAGGTTTCCTCAGGGTTGCACTGCTCAGTGTGGAACACTTGCAGTGAAATGGCGATGACTACTGAATGTGTGCTGAGTGCAGTATATACCAAGTACTCTACACATCTATATTCAGTCAGAGACCAGTGAATCTTGCCAGAATGTACAATGTTAGAAGGAATGCTAAAAGCACATTCCTAACCCAGAAGAACATGCATGAAAAAGTGTGAATTCAGAAGAACCCGAGGAGTTAATGAAAATGAAGATGGAGGAGTCTGGTTTTTAAGATTGCACATAGCAGGAAAGAAGACGAATAACTAGAGCTGATAAACCTTTAAGGTTAATGCAGTTTGTTTTTACTTTGTTTGAGGCTAGAACTGAGATATAGGAACTTAAGCTAAAAAAGCATGCTGTTAACATGGCACATCTAAGACACACTGGTGGAGGCTGTTCCTCAACAGCCAGGTTCTCACCACACCGAGTGATGTCTCTGACTTTACACCTGGAGGCAGCACTGAATGGCTTCTCTGTGGGCAGGACCCATCCCTGGAGCCTGCCAGGTGGTGTTGGAGGCCATGGGAAGGGGCTCCACGATAGTACCTTGGCCAATCTCATCCTGGTGCGGTCTATCTGCCGGGATTGCTCCCTTTTCTGCTCCAGCCACTCCTCCCTCAGCTTCTCTTGTGTATGGAATTCTGCCCACTCAGCCTCCAGCTTCCCTTGCTCCTCTGAGCACTTCTACAACATCGTCTCCTGCTCCTCCAGCAAAGTGTTCTGGAGAGCATGGCAAGAGAGGCAGAGAGAAAGCCCTAAGTCCCATGTGCCAGGGGATTTTTCTGTGTGCTAGAAGGATTGCAATTCCCCATGTGAGCAGGTGTGGAATGAACAAAACAGAGGTCAGATGAAGGAGGCTGCAGCACCCAGCACCCAGCTCTTTCTGTCATCACACGCTGCAGTGCAGCGCTGCACAGACTGACAGCACATGTGAAGAGCACCTGGCCATGTGCATCTGCCCTTACCCTCACTCACTCCAGCTCTTCTCGCTCCATGGAGAACTGCTGCTTCATGAATTGTTGCTGCTTCTCCAGTGAGTGCAGAGAAACAGAATTCACAGAAATACTGCACATACTTGTGCTCACCACTTCTGCATATCCACAGGACTCTGTTTCGTCAAGGGGAGGCCCTGAGATGTTGGGTGGCCAAGGCAAGCAAGGCTTTGCCAACCTCAGCTGGACTAAGTTCCAGTGAACTCATTAGCAGAGGTCAGGGTCTACACTGTGACTGTGCTTGTCTATTATTCCAGAGGTGGAACCTATACGTCCCATTGGAACGAATGTCACTTTAATGAAACGTACTTTCGAGTTGCTCGTCGTGCTCCTGGGACATGAGATGCTTCTGTGCCAGTAGGGCTTTGTCCTGGTTGCATGACAGGAGCTAAGCTGCTGGCTGCTTCTTCTCATGCCACAGCCTCGGCCCCTTCTGCCACATCTGTTGACACTAGTTCTCCCTTCTCATTTATGAGGTAGGTATGCTCTCCTTGGCCTTTCTTTTCTGACCTATGTCCTAATAGAATCTCTTATTGTTTTTCACATCCCTGGCCAAGTCCTGTTACATCTGTGACTTAAAATTTTAAAAAATATATTTACAGGAAGGACTCTTATCAGAACTCTTCATAGTTTCAAAATCTTTAAAGAGATTAGGTGTAATTCAAGGAAGAAGATTCATTTGCAGCTCAAATCCCTTTCAATACAGATGCAGTACTGCCTGTTAGTTACTCTCTTCTATAGTTTATTCAACTATGCCTTGCCTGCGTCAGGTAATTGAAGGTTAACAGCACAGATTATTTAACCAAGTGGCCTGCACCACATGTCTTGCAAAGATATAAGAAAGGCTATTTGATGTTGTAGCAATGACATTTGATTAGACTTTCCCACTTCAAAGTTTTGACAGCACTCAAATAGGAAGCAATAACATGTTCGCTGTTTCTTTAAATTCTGTTGAACAACAGTTGAGATTTTGCAGATTTATACCAAACAATGAATACAATAAGTCCACTTTGTTAAATGCCAGGTAAAATTGAGGCTTGGTGAATAATACCTTGTTATTGTTCATAATTGCTACCATTAGAGATTGCATCTGCTTTTTTTTGTTTGTTTTGTTTTTTGACCCCCTCAGGGGTCAGTATGCTTAATCACAAGTCAATCTGAATACAGAAACACTACAGACCTCCAGGAATTGAACTCTGGTCTTTGTGTGTTTCTTCCAACTCAGGATAGCCTATGATTCTGTGATTTCTTAGTTAATAAGCCTTACTGGCAGTGGTGGAGGGCAAACACAGACAAATACCTACTTCCAGGTTCAGAAGGGGGTTAAATTTTCTTTCACAGCTCAGTATTTACTATCAAAATTTTTCTTGTGTTTTAACTTCACTGCTCACTATTTTTTATTACTAGTGCCCAGGTAAAGCAAGATGATAATTTAATAGTATTACATGGCTTCTAGACTCAATATAGTAATTTAACATCCCTTCTTGTCATGAGAATTTGCCGCACTTATGTGCAAGAGTCTCTGGTCTTCACTGACTAGTTGATATGCACTAAAGAATCATCTACATGACAATAAACTTATAGAAGGACATCCTAGTATCACCAGCAACAATGCAGGGAAGACAGTGTTTAGCTAGTATATTTGTATTTCTGGGATACCTAAAGTCAGTATATGTGTTGTAATGACAATAAACACTCTAATTCTGCTGCTAACTCTAAAGCATGTTAAGTGACATTTATTAGCGTGTAACATTTTTAAATTGGCACACTTATTTATACCAGTTTTATGTTAAGTTTTGGAAGACTGTGAAAATTCTTGAATACTAGTAGAAAGTTAATGCTATGTCAATATCTAGAAAGGGTAAATTAAACTGGGTAATAGATATGGTTAATTATAGGCCTGTCAGCCTGCTATCGATCCTGAAGAAAATAATGGAGCAGCCACTACAGGGTTTGATTAAAAAAGAATTAAGAGGAGTTAATATAATTAATGTCATTAATTGACATTATGCACTTATGAAAACTAAATCTAATCACTCCAACTTAGTATCCCCTTTGAATATAACTGTAAATTTGGGGGATGCACTTGATCTCTTCCTTTGACTTTGAATCTTTCCATTCTGATACAGTGAGTGAAACAATACAAAATCCCTCCCCTTGGTGTATATTATATGGAATAAAGTCTGGTTAGCCATGTATCTTGAAGGACTTGGTAGAATTTGCTTCTTGGTCCATCACTAATAAAAAAGCATTAATAAATTTTTTATTGGCAAATATTGTACATAATAAATACTGGTTCATTAAATCATAACTAATGATGATTGCTCACATAAAGTCACTCGTAAACTGACTTACAATATAATAGGTGTAAAGAGAATTATTCAAGCAGAAAAATGTAGGATATTCTGGCAGTCTGAAGAATTATAGAATGGTTTGGATTGGAAGGGACCTTAACACTCATCTAACATGGGCAGAGTCACCTTTCACTAGAACAGATGCCTCAAAGCCCCATCCAACCAGGGCTTGAATAGTTTCAAGGATGGGGCATCTGCAGTTTCTCTGGGCAACTTATTACAGTGTCTCATCACACTCACAGTAATGAATTTCTTCCAAATATCTAGGTCCCATCAAGTTCTAGGAGACTGCTTATAAGCTCTCCCTAGAGCCTTCTCTTTTCCGAGCTGAACAACTCCAACTCTCTTAGGCTTTCCTCATCGAAGAGGTGCTCCATCCCTTGGACAATGTTTGTGGTCTGCTAGACCCACTCAAGCCAGTCAAAATCCTTCTTGTGCTGAGGACACCAGAGCTCGATGCAGTACCCCAAGTAGGGTCTCATGAGGGCAAAATAGAGGGGCAGAATCACCTTCCTCAACTTGCTCGCCACGCTGCTTTTGATGAAGCCCAGGATGTGTTTGTTATGCATGGCTGCAAGCACACATTTCTTGCTCATGTCCAGCCTTTTAAAAACCAACTCTCCCAAGTCTTTCTCCTCTTACAGTGCTACTGTCGTAATTCTGACCAAAAAAACCCCCAAAACCATAGTTATTAAAGTAAAATACATAGTAAATATGTGTATCACTCACTTTGACTGTGAGTGAAAAAATGAATGAACAAATAAACAAAACTTTTTCAATGGAGAAATATTCTAATTGGAGTAGAATTTTTATTACCCCTGACTCATACATATATCTAGGCCTGACATGGATATGACTGGAATACTGAGTCCAGTTATGGTGTCTGTACTTCATTCCCCCCCCCGCCCCCCCCCCCGAAATAATATTAAAAATCTCAAATTCAAAGAAAAGTTGAAGGTGTTATTCAAGAGTGCAAATTATCACATTCTGGTAGTCTTCCCAAATTGCTTGTTTGTAGTTTCCCTTTCACATTTTTATAAGTAATTGTCAATATGGACTTCCATGTAGATTTGCACATTTCCTCTGTGTTTTCTTTCCTAACCCTAGTTCCTACCCTCTAACTCGTGACCAGCAACATCTCCTTTTCCGCTTTTGTCATGCACATAACGACAGATTTGAAAGGAGCACCCTCTGTTTAGCTAATCAAGGAAGAGGCTAATAGTGACACAATCACAGGCTATAGGTGCCTACTGAGGTACAGAAATCTGATTAATCTAATTAGTTCTTCAATCTTAGGGAGAAGAAACAATGGGTAGATCATCAACCTGTGTGAATTCAGTCTGGAAATAAGACACAGATTTTCACACTATGTAGTAATTAAATACTAGGACAATTTAGCAGAACTGAACAGATTTTCCATTATTAGAAATTTATAAATCAGTATTAAGTTTTTTTTTTCATTTCCTCTCCACCCCCCCCAAAATGTTGTAGTTCAGCACATCTATTAGATATTAAATAAGTATTAATATCTGTATTAAATATAAATTAAGTGTTAAATATGATTCCAGATTAGTTTGTTGGAGTACTGTACTTCATTGCCTTATTTGGTATTTCCTAAGTGGAAAATTCTCTAGATAGCTGGCTTTGTTTGGTTTATGTATCAAATTGGTTTTACTGTTTTAGTCATTAATTTCAAGATGAAAATAAGTGTTTAATTATGGAACATGTGATTCTCATGAACACAGAAAATTATTATTTATCTCTCTTTATCCTAAAGTTACACAAATAACTGTAGTGCAATTTTTCTGTTTATCAAACATGTAATTAAATCTTTACAGACTATTCATGCACATATCTATAATATATTCATAACAAACTCAAAACAAAACTACAGTTAATGAACGTTCACACCATAATCATTCTATTTGCTTTATTTAATATACA